TAAGTACCTTGAAAGCCCAGTTCTATGAAATCTGAGGCCTCTGACAATTTGGTGCAATAAGATGGAGATGCTGGGCATCGGGTGGCGATCCTTGTGTTGTCACCCCATGGGTCTTCTAGATCCTAGCAGAGTCCAAGTTCCTCCTTTTCTCTCAGCAGGACAGGACATGGCCACAGGAACCTGCTCTATGTTCTTGTCTGTGTGCTCTGGAGGGCCAGGGCTGACACTCAGTAGGAGGGCTACTGTTGAGGATAGCACACAGGTGCAGGCCACTGAGGCCTCACAATGTTGTCTGGCAAGGTGAGTCAGGAGCAGTTCCACCAGTTACTATCCTGAGGGCAGTCAATGTTCTTGACTGGAGCTCAGATAACCAGGGCGGCAGGCTGTGTGGCAGTTTCCCCAGGTGGTGGCCATGTTCCCAGGGATCCAGGACTTTCAGGAGGTGGCAGGGCAATGGGTTTCTTGCCGTGAGACCCAGTGGGTGAGGAGCCAGTGGGCGCGGTCCTAGCAGAATGAGGTGAATGTGCGTAGTCTCCAGGATGATAGACGTTCTTAGTCAAAGACAACGCCTACCCGGTAGGTAGGAGCAAGGGCGTGCCTGCCAGGCCCCATGATGCTCAAACAGTTTGCTGACCACGGTTCAAACTGAACACATAAGCCTTGGTAGACTGGAGGCCCCGGTGGTGAGGAACGAAGCAGAAATCCTCAAAACCGGAAGCATAACCGGCTGGGTCCTGCGAGCGGCCCAGCGCCACCACCGCCAAAAGCGCGCCTGCAGTGGCCCTCATGGCGGCGGGCCAGGGGCACCTTGAGCCTGGCGGCAAGAAGCCGAGGCTCCAGAGGGAAGGCTGTCCCTACTCCCGCTGGGAGGACCACAAAAGCAAGCGGCGGCTAAGACTGTGCCGTATTCCCGCAGGAGGGAGCGGAGGACACATATGTAATACCCTTTGTAATACTTTAAGCAATAAAACAAATAAAAAAATAAAAAAATAATGTTTCAGGAAGACATTGAGAAATTTACAGTATCTGCTTTTCTTCCAAGAAAGTTGTCACTTTTATGCCAGAGTGAGAATTATTTGTATGCTTTTCATGTCAGCATTGGGCCACTGTGACTGGGGGGCACTTAGCTTGACTTGAGAGTAATTATCTTGCTCACTGGCTGGGAGGGAGGGTGTGTGGCAGAGGAGACAAATACTGGGTTCTGGATTATTCATAGATTGCTGACTTTCTGGATTGCTTGTGCAAGCCCCTCCTTTTATTGATGTCCACCTTCTATTGACAGACATCTACCCTGGTAGAGAAATGAGATGAAACTCTCTTTCTTTTCATTGTAAAAAGCATTTGAATT